ACGATATTTCGACTCAACACACGGAAAACCGAGCCACCAGCTCAGCAAAGAGAGTCACCATTCACGCGAAAGAGAAGCTTGCAAAGCTGATAATTTTACCGAACTCAACAGACGAGCTACTCAAAATAGCCGGTACGTGTTGTGTTTTCGAATATCTGTTGAATTAAATATTTTAGCCATAAAAAATCGGCCAAAATTTGGTCAAACTTAAGTTTTTTCATAACTAAATTTTCAAACAGAATCCTATTCCAAACAGTACTACACAGTTACTATCATACAATGAAGGTGTTCAACGTTATCTCATTATTTTTTTTCTCCTTGTTATTATTATGCCTCAGGTCGAAAATTTGGGCCGAGTGGTTTTACGAAGGTGTTCGACTCGAATGGCGCGGAAATAGATGACTTAAGTGTGGTACGAGATGGGGATCATTTGTTTCTTTTTTCCGAGTTTTCACCAAAGTACAGAGTGTGATTGAATGAAAACTAAGGTCTGATTTGTGCTTACAAATGTGCCTGATACTAACTGAAATCGAGTTCGTTAATCGACTAAAGATTAACAAACTATGTCACATTGCCGGACGAACTTTGTTTTTCCGGCTAAAATCGACTAAGATGAACCACATTTGTTAAATTAACCATACAATGGAAGCTAAGTAAAGAAATGACATCGATCACACAAGGCATTTATTTATTTATTTATTCAACTCTCTTTTTTTTTTTTCACTTATGGAGCTACTAAACGTGCAACAAAATGCATGTTAAATCACCAAACAGACAAATCCAACTCCAAATTAACACGTGTTTTTTTTCAATTCTCGGGCTCGAACGCCGATATGGGGTGCGACCTCGTGAGCCCAACGGGCGTGGTGAACTTGATCCAGTCGGGCTCGGGCTGGCCCACAATGATGTCGTTGATCACGACCGGCAATAGTAGCTCCTTGGCCTTGACCCCGTTAACCTTCGACATGTGTCCCTTCTCGAAAAAGGCCGTGATCTCAACACTATAAATCACGGTGGACCCAATTTTCTTAAACTTCTTTTCGATCTTCTTCTTCAGCCTCAGCCAAACGAAACCCGTGTTTCTATTGATGCCGATTTCCACGATCTCGTCCAATGGCATGAGTTCCCTCGGCATCATGATCTCGTCTATGAACTCGAGCGTCTTGGCCTTGCACGCGTCGCCTTCGTGGATTTCGGCTCCGTTTTTGTGGGTTTCGATTAGTTTCGCGCTCGACATTTTTCAAATATTTATTTTATTATTATTTTTAATTTGTGTGTAGGAATAATGGATGGGTTGTTTGAGGTGTGTGTTGTGTACTTGTGTTATGTTGTGTTGTGGGGAAAAAATTAGAGTTTATATAATGTGGAGATTGCTTGGTTTTGTTAGGTCATTTGTGTTTATAAGTTGGTTTGGTGAATTTATTAATGTAGGCTTGAGATATGGGCTTACATTGAGTTATTAATATTGCTACATGCCATGTTTGTTAAGATTTTGCAATTAATATAGAAATTATATTTGGTTCAAAGAATATATTGATTATTTTTTTTTTTTTT